AATCCAAAACAGCTCATGTCAAGCTGTGGACCATGTTGTCAGATATGTGCAGGTTTGTTCTTATTCTAATGATCCTACTTCTTTGTAGAAACACTTTCTCGTTTGCTTTGTTTGCTATCTGAATGTAGCTGTGGTGCTAAATATATGTAATAATTTTTATTTGTTGTCTTCTTGTCATTTTGTCAAAGATGGAAGCCAGTGTAGAAGCCTTCCTCATTGCTGTGGAACCAGGACAGCCCTTCTTCCTGCATGTTGGTGAAAAACAAGAGCAGCACCAAAGACACTATACCATCAGTGATCACAAGACCCTCCATGACACACAAGGCTATCTAAGGTAGCTTTTGATGAACTTTGAAAACACACTTCACTTTCAGTGCAAAGTACCATGAATTCCTCTACAACTTTGATACATTAATCCAGCCTGCAGTTTTCAACATTGATGAGACTTTTGGTTGACAAGTGAGGAAATTAATATCCTTGCTTTTATTTTACCTGCCAGTGTGGACAGTCTTTATCATGATGGTCATTTTAATGCTTACTGTATCAATAAGAGGATTTGTTTTATGTTCTTCCATTTAAGGACTTTGTTTATTACAGTCCCTGTGGCAAGCAGTTTTCTGCAGGGTCAGTATTGAAGGCCATATTGTCTATGAGAGGGTCCAGCCAACATTCCAGACAGGACAGTGTTGTCCATCTTCTTCATCTTCAACCTCCAGTATCAACATGAGGCAGCCAAGACTTTGGAGTTCATTCAACGGTAAAACCATTCCTATAATTTTTTACAATGACATGGTTTTAAAGTTTTAAATCAAGTTATGATTAACATTTGACAAAGGTGATGATGTTTTCTTTTCCACCTGCATCAAAAACTTGATGGACTTTGAGTGGCATCTCATTCAGGTTGGGTATTAATGTGTTATATCGTAAAACTAAGACTGTACTTTAAAAAGTAGCATTACAGTTTTCTTTGCAGTAGCTTACTCATAAAGTGAATGCAGTAGTAAAACTAAATTTACAGTAAAAATACTGGAACCTACAGACACCAGTATTTGAAGGTATATTTACTTTCACCACTGTGAAAAACAGTGGTGAAAAAGCAAAGACGAGAAAAGCACATGCAACAAAAAAGAGATACAAACAAAAAATGCTGAAAACAGAAGTGATCCAGACCACTAGGGGGAGTCGAACAAAGAACAGCAGTGTCTGAAGTCAGGTTTTGCATCCTTGGGTCCTCGACAACCGGAAGAGAGAAGCTGTAGCTTTCAGCTAGCTGTTTAGCCTCTACCTTGGCGTTATGTTGCTTCACAACCGTGACAACGTGAATCACGTAGCGGCGAAGAAAAAAATAAACAGACTCAAAGTATGTTTTTTTTTTTCCTGATTTCTCTATTACTCTTCACCTTTTGTAATAAAGGCTGTTGCATATTAAAAAAAATCTTAGTCTGATTCTAAAATTTTCAAACACATATAGCACATTTACACAAGGAATGGAAGCAAAGAATCCCTTTTCAAATACTCTCCAGATCTCAGGTAAGACAATACAGTTTAATCAAACTGTTATGTTTTTAGGCTTAACTTTAATCAGTTAAACCGATTTGCTCAGAAATAAATGAAATATTTTAGTGAACCAAAATATTCCAACTAGATGTTACCTGACTTAATATCTGTGTTTAACTGTCTTGTGGGAAAGCCCAAATGAGTCAGGTGTTCTAAACCTGGACCAGCTGGCAGCAGGCGAGGGGAGCTGGGTGTTAATACAGCAGGAGCAGACATCTCCGAAAAGGTCGGAGCAATATTGCAATAAGGTGATGCACTGACGAACCGAGCAGAAATGTGAGATTTATACATCTACATTCTCGCCTACAAACATTGTTTAAATCATGTTGTGTCACGGCTGCTAAGCAACATAACGCCGAGGTGGAGGCTAGGCAGCTAGCTGAAGGCTACAGCTTCTCTCTGCAATGCTCTCTGCCTTCGCAGGACCCCTCTTCCGTAGACCGGGTCGTTTCTCAAGCCCATGAAAGAATAAGCTTGAAAGGATGCAGACCCTGAACTCGGATACAAAGCTCTAGTGGTCTGGAACACTTGTTTTTTTTAAATATATTTTTGCATCTCTTTTTTGTTTGCGTCTTTTCTTTGTTGTATTTGTTTTTCTCGTGTTTGCTGCGCGTTTGCACCTGTCGACCACCGTAGTATTTTAACGATTCTGTTGGTGTCCATATGGTTATGTGTATTTGTTATAAGTAGCATTGTGATCACTGTTATGTGTAGAGTGTTATGGGCTTCCCCTGTCTGACTCTGCTGACTTCCACTCACATGTGATGAACCTGTCATATGGTGGTGGTGGGGGGGTCGGGGATCAGGGGAGCGGGACGACCAGGACCGATGCTGATCTGACAGAACACCGGAAGAGCGGAGAGTTCAGTGTGTGTTAGCAGTGAAGCTATTCAGTTGAGTGTAACGGTTTGTTAGAGGGGCGAGCTGCAGCCTAAGGAATAGCAGCTCACTCTTATTTCTAATAAACCCTGTTGACGGTACTACATCTGCGGTGTGTTGGTGTCATTACAGTATTTACTTACAGTACACCACTTTAAAAGGTAATTACAGGATGGAAAAGGTAAATGTCCAGTAAAATACTGGTTTCTACAGACGCCGGTTTTTTTTTTT